GATATCAAAAGGAAATAAAATACTTTTGGATTTTTGGGGTTGGGTTGGACGAAAAGAGGATTGGCCAGTGGAACCCCGAGGTCAAAAACGAAAGTTATTTGGCCTTCCGGGTTAAAGGACTTTGAATTGTTACTAAAATGGATCATAATGTTTGAACGTAAGTCCTTTGGTTCCCATGGGAGTGTGGGACATGGGGGAGGGTAGGATAGGGCCGGGCCCAGATATAACACTCCGAGAGAAAACTAACCCTTTGTTGGAAGGTTTACTACTTGAAAAACTACAATTGTCAAATGGCACCATTGCCGGGGAGTGGCACAGCATTAGTTTAATTTCTTCTGATTAGCTTGGGTGAAGATTGGTTTGAACGATCTTCTTACTTCTTTTTCACCAGCCACCCGTAATAATTATTATGGATAACTGCAGTGGTTATTACGACCCGCCTTCTTACTACGAATCACCTAACCGCCCTCCGTTTCAAACCCATCCACCTTACCACCCGCATCAGAACCCATACGATGATGACTACCAAGTCAATAATGGGTCTGACTACTATCCCTACCATGATGAACCAACATATGATACCCCGTCTAGGAACTTTGGATATTCTCCATACCAAGATTCTGATGGGGATAATTATTATGAACCTCATGGCGACTAAGATGACTATGACCACAATGGGCCTATGTATGACAATCAACCTGATCCACTCGTCGAAGAAATCCTAAGATTAGAACAGAAAATCTTCTATTTTGACGAAGTTTTATTTGCTGAAGGCTCCTGGTACGAACCACCTTACTGCCGTGACTACACCTTGTTTGCTGAAGAACAAATTGAAGCAAACAAGGTGGCAATTCGAGAAAGAGCAAAACTTCTTGAATCACTCCGGAAGGAAAAGGAGTTCAAAAGGAGATTACACGAAGGATTAGAATTGATGCAGAAAATGCTGGATGACTTCCAAAGAGAGAGACTAGAAGCTGAGGCTAAAGCTGATAAATTAGTCAATGATCTCTACAGGGCTGTTGAACTTAAACGCTCCCTCCAATCTCAAGATCAAATGAGGGAGATTAATGTTCAAAAAGAGGCTCTAGAACCCAAGACCAACCCTGAACCATCCAACCATCAGGTTCCAGTTCTAGAAGATTCACCCAGACCAACACTACCACAGAAACCCGAGAGCATAACAACTCTCGCTAGGGCTACTATGGTGATGTCACCTGAATCCCTGCCTAGCCAAGTCCCAACCGGCATAGTCGTACATGAGGTGGAACCAACTGAGGGACCTGACTCAGAACCACCTATTCAA